ACGGCTTCTCTCCGGTGTGAACTCTGGTGTTTAATGAGTGTGCTCCTCACACGGAAGGATTTCCCACATTCAGTACATTCATATGGCTTCTCTCCAGTGTGAACTCTCTGGTGTTTAATGAGTGTACTTCTTTCACTGAAGAACTTTCCACATTCAGTACACTCATATGGCTTCTCTCCAGTGTGAACTCTCTGGTGTTTAATGAGTGTACTTCTTTCACTGAAGAACTTTCCACATTCAGTACATTCATATGGCTTCTCTCCAGTGTGAACTCTGAGATGTCTAATAAGGTTAGATTTTTGGCTAAAAGACTTCCCACATTCAGTACACTCATGTGGGTTCTCTCCACTGTGAACTCTCAGATGTTTAATAAGCTTAGATTTTTCACAAAAAGACTTTCCACACTCAGTACACGCATACGGCTTCTCTCCAGTGTGAACTCTCAGATGATTAATAAGCTCAGATTTTTTGCGAAAAGACTTCCAACATTCAGTACACACATATGGCTTCTCTCCAGTGTGAACACTCTGGTGTTTCATGAGTGTACTTCTTTCACTGAAGAATTTTCCACATTCAGTACATTCATATGGCTTCTCTCCAGTGTGAACTCTGAGATGTCTAATAAGGTTAGATTTTTGGCTAAAAGACTTCCCACATTCAGTACACTCATATGGCTTCTCTCCAGCGTGAACTCTCTGGTGTTTAATGAGTGTACCTCTTTCACTGAAGGACTTTCCACATTCAGTACACTCATATGGCTTCTCTCCAGTGTGAACTCTGAGGTGTACAGTGAGGTGAGCCCTTCGATGAAAGGACTTCCCACATTCACTACACAGATAGGGCTGTTCTCTAGGGTGAACTCTCTTATATCCAATGATGTTCCTACATTTGTTACACTCATAAATCATTTCTCCAGAATATGCACCCTGACATTGAACAACTTTTAGGTTGTGGCTGGCAGCATTTTCACAGTCACCCGACTGGTGATGACTTTTTTTATCAAGAAATTCCTGTGAAATCTCACTGCCAAAGGGTAGCTCCTCAGTTTTGAGAATGGCCTGGTGCTGGGGAAGCTCTGAGTTGCATTGCAAGTCTTCCCCAACCTCCCTGCTGGTTGAAGGCACCGAAGATAAGTAGACGCTGCACCTGCTCACATAGGATGCCCTGACCATAGCTTGTTTCCAGGGCTCCTCCCCACATTCATTCCTCTGTTCCTGGTGAGGGTTTGCACTAAAATAGAAGTCTCCAAGACATGCATCAGTACAGAAGGCTTTCTGCTCAAAGTATGCTGCATGTGACCCAGTCAGGTGAAAAATATGTTGTAACACAGAGAAACAGCGCTTACACAGATGGGTCTTCTGGGTATCTGCAGCTTTCTTAGATGCCCTTACTTGTGACTCTCCTCGTATAGATACACTGTCATCAGAACAGGCCTCCTCATCTTCCATTTTATGCCAACAACCTGAAAAGTGAGAAATGGTGAGGAAATGAATGTTGAATGTGGTGACAGGGGGAAGTCTGGTTACAAGAGTGTGTTACACACACAAATTGGTTCCATGCAATTGTCTGAAAATATGAGATGTGCAGGAAGGATTAACAAGAGGCTCTTGTGACTTTCTGGGCTAATGAAGATCACAAAATAGGAAGGCCTCAGCAGAAATATGACACAAACATGGCAAGCACCACATGGATTAGAATATGGATCTCCAGCTAATCTTTCAACTAACAAAATTCAGCACAGCTTGCCTGCTGGGGACTGGGACAAGCTGTGCAAGGTTTTGGCTCCATCTTATTCCAAGTAAAATTCAATAAAAGAGTAGCTGGTTTTGAGGATTACTTAGCATGTATGTGCATGTCATAACACATGTGCAAGTCAATGTTGCAGAATACTGTAGTGGCACCAATGCAGAGAAATAGGTGATGAAGAAGTGAGCAGTCAGCACTTGGCCAGAGCAACACAGCTTGCTATATTATTCAGGGAAGAAAATATAACAAAGAATTGAATGGGGGCCTTACAAGAACAGCCCATGGTTCATGTAAATAAAGACCATAACATGACACAAGCTGCCACAAAGAACCCTTACCTAGAGAAAGAGTGCAGAAGTTGAAGCCATGCATGCAGACACTGTAAGCCTCCCAAGAAGAGAAAGTGCAAGCTGGGACCCATTAAGCTCAATGCAAAACTCCTGACTCCCTAACACTTCTTGCACTTTTTGAGGTTACGGGTGTTAGTGATGTTCATGGAGTCCTTTGCTCAGGGTTCCCCATCCAGCTCATCCCTGGGAGCCACAGCACGTTTGACAGGAAAGCGGGAAAAATTAGCAGAGGCAATGTTCTGGCTACGGCTGAGGAATAAAGGAAGAGAGGGCATCACCTCAGGACACTGGGAGAATGTGAAGGTCTTACCTACAGATGATACAAGGGCAAAAACTTCCTGCATCACATCGCAGTACAGAAGTCTCTGAGCCTCATCAAGGAGCCCCCACTCCTCCTGAGAGAAGGCAATGGCCACGTCCTCAAAATTTACATCCTGTCATAATGGGGACAGTACAGCCCATGATCAGATTCACTCCTAAGATTGTAAGTCTGTCATACTCGCCACCCTCCACACCCATCGCTCTTTTCACACTACACATCAGAGAAAATACCAGGTCTTCATCCCATGAAAGCCACTGTCTTCTTATTTTCCTGCTGATATTTTTCTTCCCACAACAACTAAGACAGTTGACAGATAGAAGATACCTGAGCTCTGGACCTCCCATGTATGCCACACTGCCTCTTATAATACAGTGGGAGTCAAAAGCATAGGCTAGAGAGGGATGTTGGCCATAGAGAGAGTGTGAGTGATTTGATACTGATCTTCTCAGGAAATAGCCTTAATGTCCCTACGATTGTTCCTCTAAGACACCAAAAACATGGCATCACAAATCACCCTCTTGACCCCAATCCCAGGGTGTTGAGGCCATCACTTTTCACAATCTACTGCACATAGTTCCTTGAGCAACACTTCTCTCACACAGCTTCATTCCCAGAGGCACAACTTCAAAGGTAATTCAAATATATCTTGGCATGTTTAAATTTTTTTCCTAATCACCATCTTTTCCAAAAATATAGTTCACCACCTCCATAATCTAGTTCTCTCTTTCCCTTCTTCCTTACCCATGCCAGTGGAGATTTACAAGACTGGGTAACACTGATGAATGCTACCTCATTCCAATCAACCAGTGTGTCAGAAATCCTATCTTCCCTAAACCAATGACGCTTGGGAGTAAATGCTTTGCATTTGTCTCCCTAAACAAAGGTTAAATCGTTTATGTCAATCTGATTAGTGTCATTTGTTGTCCACACCCAGGGACAAATGAAGTTAGAAAATAAGCCTTATTTTGATTAGTTCTTTTATTCAGGAGGAGCCAACCCGGTCCCTCCCTGCAACATGAATGATAAAATGTATGTTAAGGAATTTTAAAATTGCTCAAACCTCGCTGCCTTGGGTCCAGTTCTGCGTGTGTAAGGGACAGAGTAAAGTTTAGTAGCAGGCCAGAAGAAGCTGGCAAGGCCATCCAAACCACCCAGCCGCTATTGGCCAGAGCCACCTGAGGCAGACCTCCTTGGACTGGCAACAGCTGACTCTGACTAGGACAGACTGGGCTTTTTCCAACTGGGCCCCCATGAGCCGATGGTCAAAATGAAGATCAGGGGCCAGACTGTGAACTTTATGATTGATACAGTGACAGAGCACTCGGTAGTTACTCAGAAGGTAGCTCCCCTCTCAGGACAGGAAGTCACCATGATTGGAGCTACCGGTACCACAGCTGCAGACTGTTCTGCCGCCCCCACCGATGTCAGTTAGGCGGCCATCAGGTGGTTCATGAATTCCTATATTTACCAGTTGACCTGGTCCCTCTAATGGAAGCAGAAACCACTTTTTCCCCAGATGGCTCAGCACAGCCTTGCCTAGGTGAAGAGACCTCTCCAATGATCCTGTCCTTAGCAGTGCTGAGAGAGGAAGAATGGAGACTTTATACCCTCCAGCCAAAGGCCCCCACATCTGTTCTTGTCAGGCCCCCATCAGGGGACTTGGGCAGTGTTCCTGTTATCTGCCAAAATTCCCAAGACTGTAAAATACTTGTTCACTGATAAGGTGTAAATGTGGGTTTATTTAATGTTTATATGTCTACTTAGGTATAAATATTTATTCACGTAAATATGGAAGTCTACAAAAAAATATTTAAGGCTGAAGGCTGAATGACTGTGGGGTGAACCCCAAGAGTAGAGGGTGTCTGGCTGCCAAGAGGGCAAGTGCCCAACTGGGCAAAGAAAAATACCCATCAGGTTTGGGTCTCTATTGAGAAACAGCTAACAGTTAGCAGCTTGTATACTGTCTTTCAGACCTGAGTGACCATGCCCATGTCAGGAGTAGTACAAATCTCAACTGTAGAAAACTAGGAAAGGCCTGTTGGAATAGAAGATCTGAGGCATGGTTATGAATTTTTGAAGGACATGGAGAGACGATTTAAAGTCTGGTTTGAAAGTATAAAATTTATAAAGGTTGTGTACGTGATAAAAAGGAAAAGAGAAATATTAAAAGGAAATTAATCAAATAGTACAGGCCAGTAAGCCAGAGAGAGTAAATAATTTACATTCTGCCTCCCTAAAAGGAGGGTAAATAGTTATACCAAAGTAGTTAGGGGGAACTGATAAAAGAAATATAACAGTTACTATTTTGTTATAACTCTGAAAAATCCATGAAAAAGGACTGGCAAGGAAAATCAGAAAATCCTAGAGCAGATCAGTATGTTTTTCTCCTTATATAATTCCTCTGAAATCTGGCAATGCTTAATAAGTCATGGCAATACATTTCTTTGCATGAAAATCAATAAGACCGGTTTTCAATAGTGATTTTATTAACCGGAAACTTTGACTGGAGTATCATGTTTTAAAGAAACGTGTCTAAGCTCTGAAGACTTGAAGCCAATAAGAGTGCCACTGGAAAAGCCTGGTATCCTGCTTGGGAGCCCTGAAGATGGCTGGCGCTGGAGCGTCAGGCCCATGCCCTACCATCACTGGTGGTTGGACAGAGTAGAAGGGGAACAATAAGGATGCCTCTGCATCCCTGCAGAACCCCCACACACTCTGGGCCACAACGAGTAGGAGGGCTACTGAGATGGGACTTAAAGCCTAGAGTGTGGGCTCAGGTGGAGTTGCTACAGGTGAGGGATTCACCTAACTCAGCAGATACTGCAGGTGGGCCTGATGGCAGCTGGATGGCTTGGCTTCCTGGCCTACGGGGCACATTAAGATTCAATCATGAAATTCCAGCAAAGAAAGTCAGTTACCATTCTTGTTGTGTTTATGCAAACAATCTGGCCAAATTGAATACGGTAAATAAATTGGTATTTTAATGAACAGAGGGGTAATTTTAAGGAGAAAAATCCTATTTCAATAGAGGTTGTTAAAACTGAAATGTTTTCTTTCCCTTCCACCGGACCATTTGTTATAGTATGTCTCTGCCAGGTCACAAGCCCAGCTCCTTCTGTACCCAGGGCAGCAGGGAGCCTGACTGGAAGGTGATCTCTGACTAGACACACCTGCTGCAGATCACCCTCAAGAAGACAGCGGACCTCGGTGGACCCCTTGTAATCCTCCTGATGCTGTTGACTTTTGGCCCTTGCATTATTTACAGACTAGTCCAATTTGTCAAGGAGTGTATAGGAATAGTTCAGTTGATAGTTCAGTCCGTCTCATGATTGAGCCGGAAGTTCCAAGACAAGGGGGGAATGAAAGGACAGAACAGGACTGATAGCTGTGTCCTTAACCCCTCTTTCAAGAAAAAGCCGCAGAATGTATCAGTTACTCAGCCTGCCCTTATCTCGGCCAATGGGAAAGCGGGGGAAACTAGCCCAAGGCCAAAAGTATGCTATCCACCCTCCCCCCCCGTCTTTGTGTAACCAGACCCTAGCTGCACCCTGCCCTTGCGACACTAACCCCCTGCTCTTGTGTCACTAGCCCCTGGCCCTCACTCAACCAACTGGAATCGGCCAAATCAGTGGTCAGAGTGTGCCCCCACACCCCGACCCCAAGCCCTATAAATTCTTTGTTCTTCCAAGACTCCGGCCTCTCTTGCATCCAGTAATGGAGGCAGAGAGACCAAGCTAGCTTGAATAAAAGACTCTATGCTTTTACATCGGACTCGGTGCTCCCTGGTGGTTCTGGAGGGGGGGGGCGTCCTTGAAATCTGGGCATAACACAAGGCAGCACTACAGCCTTTCACCCTCTTCCCCCATCAACCATGTGTCACCCATGAGGGACTCACCATTCTGAGCGCTGGGACCTGGGCGGCGGGACCTGAGAGGTGCAGGTCCCCAAGGCTGGAGGGTGAAATGGGGTCAGGCTGCTGTGAGCAGAGAGGAGTTCGGGAGGCACGAGGACACACATCTCGGGCTGTTGGGCTCAAGGAGCCTCAGACACACCCCGCACAGCAGGCACGCTGCCTCCCAGGCCTCCTCGTCCTCACCACAAGCGCCCTGAAGCCTGTGAATCTGTGAACAAAGACCTGATAGGTTAAAATGTCCACCACAAGGAGAAAGGTGGAAGTTCCACCCTAAACGGATGCACAGACACCAAAATGCCCTTTAGTGCCTCCCACAGGAGTGCAGTTCCTTCTGGCTAATGTAGTTTTGTCAACCACCCAATGTAGTACTGGCATCCCAGCCAATGAGTTATCCGTGGTGGGCAAACCGGGGCTCACAAGCCACATGCTGTTCTTTGGCCCCTTTACTGTGATTCTTCCACTAACTACCATGTGGAGACGCTCCTGTACAGTTCGATTGAAACTTCCTGGCCATGCGTAGAAGTCGGTATTTTGTGGAAGAGCCACACTCAAGGGGCCAAAGAGCCACACTCAAGGGGCCAAAGAGCCACATGTGGTTCGCGAGCCGCGGTTTGCCAAGCCTGTTTGCCGACCACTGATTAGGTGAATAAAAGTGTTGTGGCAGAGAGAGTGATGGCTGGGGAGGGACTAAATGGGACCAGAGGCCTGGCTAACTAGAGCAGACTAACAGATCTCTGAGGGGAAGAAGGTGGGAGGAATGCAAGAGACCCACCAAAGAATATATACAAAGGGGGGAAATGGGAGACATCAATAATTCTATCAACAATAAAAATAATATGTATTTTTGTAAATTTTAAAATAATGTGGCCTAGCTGGTATAGCTCAGTTGTTCATTTTATTTTTATTTTTTAAATTATTTCTTGTTTAAATTATTTTTATTTTTTAAATTATTTCTTGTTTAAAGTATTACATATAACTCCTTTTTCCCCCATTCAGCACATGACCTTACCCCCATAGTGTCTGTCTGTGTCCATAGTTTATGCTTATATAAATGCATATAAGTCTTTTGGTTGATCCCTTAACCCCTCCCTTCCCTGACTTC